GTGTAGATTTACAGTGTCACAACAACGAAGTTCTCGGAGAGATCCCACAAGTTGCAAAACGGAAGAACCCTGAAATGCTGCAGACGTAGTGCAGACTTACTGGCTGTACTGTCTGCTACTGGCATCGTGTTACCTTGCATGTAGGTCTCTGATGCAATGGCTCAATCTCTTAATAATCCGCCAAGCACATTTTCCGATCGACTGAAATTACAGGCTTGTGCCACTCCATAACGTTAATTGAAAATTAGCGAACTGAAACTGGACTAACATTTGTTTGGACATATTAGGTATCTCATTATCAAAACGTTGTGACTGCCCCTTCACACTACGTGGATTTTTTTAAATATAAGCAGTCTTTCGAAAAAAAATTGTAATTAAATATAATTTGTATATTTTAGAGGGGTAAACGATGATAGTAATTGCATCAATCAGATATTAAGAGGTCAGTGTAATATGCCCAATTGAATTGACCTTAGTTTTAAGCAATACCCTTTAACATCTGCACACAATTAGCCTCGTTTTCCAGGCTAAACTCATACCAATTTGCATACTTAAATTATATAACTCTTTATGTGATCATAGCGAGAGCCCATGGGGACAATTGACGATCTTCGTGGAAGTAAAGCCGACCGATTAAAAACGTAACCTCCCTCGTATCACTGATAATAATGGCAACAGCATGTCGCTTAGCGGAATGTTTCGTGGCAAATTACGAACATTTACAAACCACATCTCCTCTTTGGATATGTTTACATTTTATGGCATAATATATACTGTATACTATACACAGACATGAAGTGTTTTTTTTAGCTGCTTCAGCAAATTAAAAGTTTGAAAACGAATGTAGAATGGGGAAAAAAATAACACATTTCATCTACTGGCCTGTAGGTTTTCCATTTCAGTGAATCCAAGTAGGATGAATATTTCCCGCACCTCCGATTAGCGCAGTGCCAGAGTTTAACATACATACAAACCATAACGGAGGTGGTTCATCTCCACTGAATCTCTTCACCAGGCTTTTTGCCAAATTCATGATCTACACTTTGCTTTTCAACATCTGTTTTTATCTTCCAGCGATTAATGAAAATATTTGATACTTTTAAGTTGTGGTTGTGTGCATATCACACCCTCTCTCCTTGATATTTTATATTTATACATCACATTTTACAACAGTTTTTAAAGCACTTACAAATGCCTGCAGCAGACGTATACCATCTTTACACAAGCTTTGGAAGAGCCATGCCTTGCCGAAGATAGAGTATTATATATGTATAATAGCCCAAAGAGATATTATGATAAAAGCCAAAACGTTATTACAGTACAGCTCCTCTTACTCGTGGTGAAACGGGGACCAGGGTCGCAGATCCACTGGGTTATCTGTGAATTTACGCCTTTTATCCATGATAAAAAAATATGTGCAGAAGATAACAGGAATAGGGCATTGGGTATAATAGCAGTTTTCCCCGGGACCCGACACATTCTGTGGATAATAGGAACCACAAGTAACAGACTCATGGACAAGAAGAAGTCCTACGGTGTCCTGAAACCTTTAGCTTTGGACACTGGAAATGTCACCGACTTCCTGGTCTGTGTTCACCAACAGTTTGAATTGCGAAGCAGCCAATAAAGTGGAACAAGACCCAAGATGGAATGCAACAGCGGCTTTTGGCTGGCCATCCGACAAAGACGGCCACTGCATCGCGCGCATTCGGATGTGCTTCTGCGGCCGTCTGGAACGCTCTTCCTTCCGATATTAGGAAGCCACCAGAGCTATGCGTTTTTAAATCAAGATTGAAAACTAAATTTTTTAAGACTGCTTTTCGTGTTTAGTTTGTTGTCCTTCCCCCGCACCTCCGATGAGCACGGTCGGCAACGTACGGTGCGAGAAAAGTTCAACATACATAAAGGTTAGGGTTGCAAGCAAAACGCTTAATGAAAAAAATAAAAAAGAATACAAAGTTATTGTTACACAGAACTTGATACCATTTGTCTATACATACAATATAGATGCAACGGAACGATGTTTGGAGTCACTCCAAAAGGCCCTATCTAACCCAACATGAGATGGTGTTCCTCCGTGCTCTGTAAAGAGTGCTTCTCCACGTGTCAATCATGCTGCTATTTGCGTCGATAAAACTTACCTCTCAGCTCGGGCCAAGCCGAGTACCACAACTAAAAACACACCAAACGTGATGGATGATTTTGCTTATTAGCAGGCACAACATTTAAATTGTGCCCAATTTTTATCAGATAGCCCTAATTAATTGACATATTTGTCCAGGTGATGATTTAATTGGCTACGTTAGGAGGTGGAGAGTTAAAGTTAAACATTTGTAATTAAACCTACACCGTCGCACCCAAAATTAACTCATTTTGAATCATATATGTAGTGAAAGCCTACGTATAAAATTAAGATAACCATCGCTTAATAGAAAAATAATCAAACTTGATTTGAAGGTTTCGTGACTAAATTATTATTTAATTTATTTTCTTTCTACGTGCCTTTACCGAAAGAACCAAAGAGAAAAAGAATCCTAGATAATTTTACAATGCAGTTTACATCAAATAAAGAGATCATATTAATGACGATGGGTTTGAATGTGTAAGTTGCATATTTCTCAAGATTAACGTTTTCTACTCAGTGCATCAACACCCAAAGCTCATGTTCCCTTGTATCTGCAAGAAAATATGACTCGTCAATGTGCAATCCTCGTAATGTGAATGAGTATTTGTGTTGTCTTGCAATGACTTGTTTTATTTTTTAGCATTAGCTCAGTGGGCTTTCTCCTGAAGGGTGATATAATAAAGGGTGAGAACCCCTTGATTGTATAACCTGTATCAAATGAACTAAACTAAGTGTAACAGCAAACACTAAATGGGGAAGTAATGCTGTGCTTTTCGGAACATGATCGGGCAACTCATGTAATTGACCCAGCTCCAAAACCTGCAATCATGTGCCATCGCATAATAGACTCTAGATTAATTGCATTAATTAACAGGGAATGGCCACGTTGTTCTGGGCAACTGGGTGCATGCACCATTGTCAATATCACAAATCCTGACTCATGAATTGGCTGCGAAGAACGGGGGGGTGTGAGAGCTGGAGGGGTGGGGGAACTGGAGTGGTCAGTGCCATCGCGTGGCTGGCATCTGGCCCTGATGCAAGGAATGAAATGGGCCCCCTGTTCAATTTCCCTGTTTGTTGCCCGGTTCCTGGACCCCGATGCAGTTGCACCATCTGCACACTGGAAAGTTACACAAACCCCACTGTTTTTGGGGAGATGGATGCATTTCCATGACTAAACGAAACGATATCTTTATTTTATTTTACAAGGCCCACTGAGCTACATTGCTATTTTTCAGAAGCGACCTGACTATGAGAGATGAAAACTGAACAAAGTGGCTTATCATGTGGACATTTATAGCAGCCAAATACTCTCAATGTGAAGGGAAAAACCGGAGGACCCGGAAAAAAATCCACGCGACCACGGGGAGAACATGCATACTCCAAATTTACAGGCGTCAGTCGGGATCGAACCCACGACCTTCTGTATTACCAGGTGAGCTAGTTAGCATCTCCTAGCCACCATGGCGACTAAGATGTCATGGGGTCAGATCTGTGCCAGGCTGAAGCAGCACTAGTGCCCACTTATTTTCACAAGTTGGTAAGCAATGCCCATGACATCTTGACAGGCCGGCCCCAGGCAACAGGACTGTTCTAAGAAACGGTTACAATGGAACGAGTCAATCAGACCTGTCACGCACGGCGGAAGCACAGATTATGTTGTATTTTCACGCAATTTGAGGATGGCTACTTTTTGACATTCAAGAATCATTTCTTGTTGGTCTATCCCCCCCCCCCCATCTCATTCGTATGCTAACTAATTTACAAATAATTCGCTTCAATAAGTTATACATTGGATGTTGTCCATTTTGGTTGATGCATCATGACGTACATCGTACGTAGTCATTCCCTTCCCCTTCTCTTCACCTCTCCTCATCCCTGTCTATAATCTCACGCCACCACTTGCCAATCTCACACCAACCATTAGTCACTCACGTTTGCGATCTGCAAATTGTGATTTTTGTGTCAACCATGTTGGTTTATCGACAGGACAAATAAAACTAAAATGTACTTTTAAAAAAACTATCACAAACCCTCTTATATTAAAATGTGTAAAAAAAAATTGCATCACGTTTACATACTTTGCAAATTATCACCTTCTCCCACCGTAGCCTGGATTTCTACCGAGTGTAGATGCATCCCCCCTGGCTCAAACTCTTGTGGGTCATCAGGGGTAAGTGGGCGAGGGTGCAGATATATCAGGACGGGCGAGACAAAACTGAAGTAAAGAAACAAGCCTCAGCCTCACCTTGATTCAACTTTACCACGATCGTGACTGGTGGTGGCAACGTGGAGTCAAGGGATGGCCATGTAAGACGGGCCTGTAGCCATGGGTTAGACCCCAGGCGACGTTAAATAGAGTATAGTGCCCCAACTAAATATCCAGATTGAAGAGGGTCACAGTGCTGGTCAGTATATGTTGGCGTCCTGCGTAAGTAAAGCAGTCACCTGCACCCTCTTAGCCAGCTACGGGGATGGTGCAAGGAGTGGGGGTAAAGGAAGCGTGTGTATAGACACGGGTATAGCGTGGGGCATAGGCTTGGGTGGGTTTCGGCATGCGTTCCAGTATATCAGTCCACCGCACATCTACATTTTAAAACCGCTTTAAAGAAATAAGTATGAACGATTTTGAAATTATGTGGTCAATTTCCCAAGAGGGCCTGTTTAACAAAGGGCACAGTTACTCGTCCCATGTTGGCACGCCCGTGGGACTTAGCCAAATAAACACGTCCTACGGTTGATATCGCGTGTGACTGAACGAAGCGCCGTGAAACCAAGAGTCCATCGCAATGCGACGTTTTGACTTTTATCACAACTGCCTCTGCTGCCTGTTAGTATTATTCTTATTCTCGTTTTTCATCTTCCACCACCCCCCCCCCCCCCCCAAGGGCCTCGTCTCGGTGTTGAACTTCGCCGCTCGCTAAGGGCTCCTCTTGGTGGCCACACCGAAACCAAAAGAGTCGTCGCTTTCGGGCCACGCCTGGTACGGGGAGGGCAGCGTGCGCGTCTGCGCTTGTCCGGTCAGGTGGACCTCGGTGTCCACCAGGCGCCGGGGTGGGGACAGCCCCTCGCCTCCTTCCGGCTGTCTCGCCTGCTGCTGCTGCTCCTCCATGGCAAAGCTGTCGTAAGCCTCCTTGCACGAGTCCTCGGGCAGCAGCGCCCGGCGCTCGGTGAAGGAGGCGGACGGGCGCAGCGCGCACACGTGGCGCAGCAGCAGGAGCATCGGCGCGTAGAGGACATTGGTGAGACCCATGCCCAGGCTGAGCTGCACGAAGCCCATGGTGTGCACGATCTGCCCGGCCACGATGGGGCCCATGGCGTAGGCGAGCGAGTAGGAGATGTCCGCGATGGCGTACACGCTGCCGTACACGGACGCGTAGCGCACGTCGACGAGGAAGGCGAGGAGGGGCAGCAGCGCGGTGTCGACGAGCGCGATGCCGAAGCAGATGCCGCACAGCGGGGCGATGAGCTCCTCGAAGGTCCGGCACGCGGGCACCAGGCACGAGCTGGAGCCGATGATCACGAGCCCCAGGCCGCCGTAAAACCACTGCAGCTGCGGGTACTTGGCGGCCAGCTTCACCGTGATGTAGACGCCGAGCACGTGCGGGAAGAAGGCGGGCAGCCACGTCATGCCGCGCTGCCACTCGTTGGCGCCCATGGTCTTCTTCATCCACGACGCGATGGTGGGCTCCAGGAACGCCAGCGGGATGTTGGCCATGGTGAGCGCGCCCGCCACCACCACGATGTAGGGGTCCATCATGAGGCGGTAGATCGGCGTGCCTTGCGGCAGGTTCTCGCGCGAGCGGCTCGAGAAGGGCTTCGCCACCACCATGAGCAGGAGGCCGTCGAAGAGCGACACGCAGGCGAGCACGATGAAGGGCACCCGCTTGCCCACGAACTCGTACAGGGTGCCGCCGAAGGGAGGTGCCACGAGACTGCCGAACGAGATGAAGGCGAGCGCGATGCCCAGCGCGCGGCTGCGCTCCGCCTCCTCCGTGAAGCGGTCCGCGATCATGGCGATGCCCGCCGTGTCGGCGAACGCGGACCCCAGGCCCTGCAGGGAGCGCGCCGCGAACAGCGTCGCGTAGCTTTCGCCGAAGGCGAACACGGCCGTGGAGAGGAAGATGATGGAGAGGCCGATGAGCAGCGGGAGGTCGTAGCCGACGCGGTCGATGAACGTGCCCGTCAGGGGGTTCACCAGCAGCTGCACGATGGCCTTGGAGGCGAAGAGGACGCCGATGCGGATGTCCTCGTCGGCGTCGTCGTCGGGGACGTGCGCGGTGGCGGCCACGGTGGCGGCCAAGGCGGCCGCGGTGGTTGCCGTGCCGCCGGTGAAGTTGTAGACACCCCCCTCGCCCTCCTCCTCGGAGTAGGCGGCGACGGCGGTCGTGACCTCGTGGCGGTGCTGGCTCCGATGGGCCCTCTGCTCCTGCGCAAGCGCCGCCCTCTCCGTGTCCCGGTGGATGGCCTCGACGTAGTCGGGGATGATGGGCACGATCACCATGTACAGCATATTGTCGAGCAGCAGGGCCACGCACACGATGAAGAGCACGAGGCCGCGCTGGCGCCGAGGGTCCTGCATCCCACCCAAGCCCCGGTTCGCCGTGTCCCGGACCCACGTGGCCACTCGCCACGCCATGCCCTTGTCGCCTTAGAGCCCCTTTGGCAAGCTGCCTCGCTCGGTCGACGGCGCCTTCGCTCAAGAGTTACGATAGGAAGCGATGCCACGTCTTTGTACTTCTGTCGAAGTTATGGCGACTCAGTCCCGGTTTGGTGGAAATGTTGCGACCGCTTAAGGGACATCCGATTGCGACGTTTCGGTGTATAGCCTCCAGAACTGCTAATTGCACTTGCAGTCCCTAAAATGTATATTCTGTTTTAAAAGTTACTCTTTTAGAGGCTATTGAAATAAATCACCTGGCAAAAGTGTATTCGCTTTTTCTTTTGTTCAAAGAAACATTGTCGAGAATGAAATAAGACTGTGCACGAGTTGATTTTGACGTAAGGCGGACATGAAGTATGCGGAAATACTTTGCGCGCGCGCGTGTCTGTGTGCGGGTTTTTTTTGTTTCCAGCCAGCCGACTTTATTTCGCCTTTGGTCTCTCTGTCTCTCGTCTCTCGTCTCGTCCACCCCGCAACGTGGAAGGGTGGGTGAGGGTGAGTGGGTGTCCCGCGAGGGCGGTGGGTATAGTCTCGCGACTGAAAAGGGGGAAGAGAGAAGAGAGGGGAGAGGAGGAGGAGAAAGAAGAGACAAGAGAGACCTTATTTGTTTGTCTACATTTTGCTCTCCCGCACAATCATAAACACACCATTACAATATTTAGCATTGACTTTACTGGGGATTTTTTGTTCGTAAAAAAAAAATCACCAATGATAATCAAATTCGGATAACTTGGCCATGAACGAAATTTCCATTCAGAACTCTCACAGTGAGCGTTAGAGTTATCACATTATGTCAGGGGACGGCCCCAGAAAATGAAATTACAGAACTACTTCTGAAGCCACTTCAGTGGGCCTCCAATTCAAATCTGGACGGTGTTCCTTTTATGCGTTGTAAAGGGCGACATTTCACCAAAAATTTGGATCCTCAGAAGAAGCCACATTTTGTAATTAAAACAAATGTAGGATGGTGGAATATTTATGCAGTCATTGGTGACCAGGCTGAAATAATTAATTCATTATATATGATCACGCAATTTAATCACAGATGTGCCGAAACAAGCATTCTAATTTGATCATATCAGCCGTGTTGGCTCGCTCTGATGTGGGCATCAGCCTCAACTCATCTAGCCGCCTATACAGTGTTTAATTCGAATGTTAAGTCGGCTGGAAGAAAACTAACTTTCCTATCAACGTTATGTGCTATTTTATTGACGTGTCGATACAAAATAATGCTTCCTAAAAGCAGCTATTATCGTATTATATGAAGGTATTCATCGAAAAACTTGTAATTTCTGACAACGTTATACAAACATCAGGTGAACATGATATAAGGGAACTTACCTGCCATTGAGTCCGCATAATTACTTTTGAGTCTTCATTCTATTTTACTTTTTCACCACAAGCACGAGAAGATAATCCTGATGCGTGGTGCAGATGAATGATCATAAACATCTATCGTTTGTAACATATGCGGTACTACATAATTCACGAGTGAAAGTATCTCCCCGAATAATGAGATGCTGCTCATCTCTGTTGGTGGCGGATGCAAACACGATAATAAATTCAGGCTTGCTGACCCACCCATGATGGATATTGTGAAAAGAGCTCATCGGATTCCTCCAGCAGTCTATATAAAGATTCATATTTTGTATTTTAAATTCGAGATGCCAGAACCAAAATTAAATGGAGACCATAATGAGTAAGGTGCCGAGGAAGAACAAGACAACACGTTGGCGAAGCACGGCAAATATCCAGCGGTTATCGCAGTGTAAGTACATTTGCGCCACTGAAAGTCAACACATTTGGGAGCAATTGGAAAAGGTATAATTGGTAAACACTTATCCAAAGTCTAAAGCGAGTCTCAATTTAAAGTAAGAAGTCCAGTTCTCGAATACTGGTTCCATTGTCACAACCTTTGGCACATTGTCGCAAATCATATACGTACACTAGACATTTACATCAGAGGCCAGAAAGAAAAAAATAACATTCACTTATTGTAGATTTGACATCCTTAGATGCAAATTTTAAATTATTTTTTAAATCAGATTTACATTTTACGCAACTTAAAAAATGACAGATATATTCCAACAAACATCATGGAGGGTGATTATCATACTGTGAAATAGATCACTTAATGTTGCTCCATGAAGCTTGGGTCAAAACCAATGAACCCAGATACCTGGCCAAGTGTTCTCTCAGATTAATTCTGTGTCATTACCACTTTCTGCAAATTTCACAAAGTTTCAAGTCCATAAGAGCTCATTGTAAACTGCACCTACAACCAACGGTCTGTCCAATTGAGTGCACACTGTCATTTATAATCCCCTTGGACCCATGCAATTAAATCTCAACATCAATTCCTGGCTGTGGAACACTGAAATACAACGTTAAAACAAGACAACAATAGGAATGGCTGAGAAAGGTTTTCACTTTTTTTCTGGCAACAAAACAGGTGTTGAGATGTTTAAACATCAAACTGAAACCTTTTACAAGGAATCATGTCTGCATTAACTACAATACTTGTGGTCAGAATGCAAACAAAAAAACGTACTCTGATAATATATGCATTGTCTTTGAAACTGATTGGTCCACACCAGAGACAGCTTTCTTTTGAGCCTAGTCCCAAACGGTGTTAGACCAGAGGACGCCAAAAGGCGAACAGCACAAAGACAATGCCACTATCAGAGTAATGAGAGCTCGGGGTGAGCAACTACATCATGGGACCTCCTTTGCCAGTACCAAAATATGATAGTAGGTTTCCCCTTTTTTCAGTTTGGTGTTTTAACATCTCAACACCTATATTCTTGGTTCTTTCGGTAATACAAATAAACAATTAAATTATCACGACGTTTCGAAACGTCGTGAGAATTTAATTGTTTTACTATTGTATTATTTTATTATTTCCCTTCTACGTGACTTTACCGAAAGAACCAAGAATATGAATCCCTGCAGTCACGAAAGCTTTCAATCGAAATCTCAACACCTGTTTTGTTGCTAAAAAAAGGGGAAAACCTAATCTCATATTTTGGTACTGGCAAATGAGGCCCCATGATGAATGAGAATGACTTTTAAAAAATAGTTGTACCGACATATCTATTTCACAATTCCCCCCCCCCATATCCAAATAAGCATTGGGTGGCGATAATCTATATTGACAGAAACGAGACAATGATGAGAATATGTATTGCCATCGCGCCTTGATATTTACCGCATGGGAGGCGTAGGATTAATAGTAAATCATTCATGATGATCCTACTGTAGGACTGGTAACCAGATTGAACAACCATCATTCGTTTTGACCGTAACTAAGTTAAGATCTGAGTTGTCCCCTGTATCGGGTTCAAGCTTGCATCTCGAATTTTCACCACTGACTCAAGGCTGTCTATACTCTTACGTTTTTTTCGGTAAAGTCACGTAGGTAAAAAATAAAATCAAAAGTTACTAATAAAATAATTAATCATTTTATTTTATTTCTATTATTACTTTTAGTAATTTTTTATTTTATTTTTTACCTACGCGACTTTACCGAAAAAAACGTAAGGGTATGAATCCTTGCAGTCACGAAAGCTTCAAATCTAGACTCAAGGCTGTCTATCGGAGATGAGCACTATGCATGCTTATTTAGGAAAAGCTTTGACTTCAAAAAGTTATTTGGGGCGAGGCTGAGACAATCAAACGTATTACAACATACGAAAAGCTGACTTAACCTTGGGTAACAGCCTAGATTCCCAACCCAGGATCTCAATGGCTTAGCACAGTTCTAAGTTACACAATTGATTTTGAGCAATTCTTCACGTACATATGTATGGTGATGCATTGACGATGCTGATGATGATGATGACGATGATGACGACAGTTACGCAGTGGGCCTGTTACATGATATCTTGCATCTCTGCCAGCATCAGTGACAGCCCCCCCCCCCACTCAGCATCTGCGGGATTAATGCTGCTTTCCACCTACACTCAAAAAAATGTGCGTGTTTGCAATGCTTAGCGAAGCAAGCGTTGCGACAGATAGCCGATGCACAGACGTTCAAATGTGATGGTGTTGCACATTGCACAGTTGCTGTTGCAACCTCAATCATGTACGTATGTTGAAATGTGCGTTGAACTTCTTTCGCACCGTACGTAGCCAACCGTGCTCATCGGAGGTGCGGGGAACGATAGTGACGGAATGTAAACCAAGGAATGGAACGCGTCTGAAAGGACATACTCAGGAGATGGAACGATGACGTAAGCGCATGTGTGGGTGCTGGTGGCTTGTACAATCACGGAACCATACAACATCCATTGTGACGGCTTGAGGAAGCCTTCATCCAGCAGTGGATTTACCACGGCTGATGGTGATAATGAAGCAAGTTTAGAAATGTTTTTCTTTTCTCAAAAGACGTTCATCTAAAATCAATGCGGTGATATTTATATCATTTCATCGGGCTAAACAATTTACCCCTCTTTGTAGAGCGGCTTCACGCTGGGCCCCCATTACTCTGCTAGATGGCCCCCGGCCGTGACGCCAGGACCCTGCCAGTGACACCTGTATGACATTTAAATATAAATAGACGGACCTATGCTACAAGGAAATTCGCTTTTTTTTTACAGACGCAACGCAGCATTGTGATAAATCGTAAGTTAAACTCTAATTGTCTCTGCCCAAACGGGCGTGGAGCGATGCTCATCTCTACTGGCAGCTCTGAGCAAGTGCAGGGAATCCCACGTGTATGCGGCTGGCAAGATGAGACTAAGATGTGGTAAAATCCCTCGAAAGCCAGACGAATTGGAGAGCAGAGGATTGCCGATGATGGGCTATGTATAATGTAAATTATTAACCAGTAACCACATTTACATCTCACACCTGGAATTGAATTAAGACCTAATAATACGTAACTAATTATTTACAATTTAATATTTACAATGTAATTATGGTTCAAAAGCTACTACTATCCACTGTAATTCAAATCACTTCTCATTACCATGATATCTAGGTTGATTCTGACGCCAAAAACAATGGGGCTTGAAAAATGTATCAAAATAATTTTTTTCGTGGATGAACGTGGCATCCAGGTGCATTGGTTCACCATATTCTGTACAACATATACGTGTACACGTGTTGTCTTTAGAATTGCTCGTACACGTACACAAGCCATCACTTTATACGCGAAGTGACAATTAGCAAGTGAACAGTGTGTTTTAGTGTTGTTAAATACTTACGTATTTATTTTGGTAGCCTTTCTGGCTTACCCAGAATTCCCGCTTAATTAAGTCCAGCTTGGAGAGGTGAGACCGTGTTTATGAGGCCATGGGGTTATATATTTTTCTGGGTCCCCTGCCTAGTGACTGTGGCGCCCCACGTGAGAGTCGGGATAGGGTCCCTGACTCGCAGGGCTCTCCCAAGCAGGGGCCATCTGCTGCAGCCACTTGTCCAAAAGGTGGAAATTCCACATTAAAAATTGCAACGGCGAGTATCTCTAAAATAAGACACGGGCCATTGATGTCCCAGAGAGGGCGCGTACTCATCGTATCAACCGCCGAAGGAATACT